TGTTGTATTATCAAAAGTCAATCATAAATTTTAGCACTTACATATCCAGACATACGAGGCCATGGTCCATGGTCGAAGGCTTCACGAGCAACCTTAACAGCCAAATCAATATCTTCCTTATCTCCCTCTGCAACACTCGCTATCACTTCACCATTCCTCGGATCAATCGTCTCGAAACTTTTTCCTACATAACATCATTTAATTATTAGTCCATGACTAACATTCTTGGACCGACCTATACCCTTTTTTATTTTAGGTGTACAAACTACAGAGAGTCGTAAAAGGTAAATAACAAATCGAATTGAACAGAAAAATTATAGACATACTAACCAGAAATTGCATCGATAAATTCTCCATTAATGAAAAGTTTTGTAAATTTGATCTCTGGAATTTTGAAGTAGCATGAATTGGAACTTTCTTTTGATATATCACCCATAATTATTTCTTTGTGTTTTTACGTGCAGGCTAATAACTTTGCTTGTTTATGATCTATTAATTCTACCACTTTAGTTTATTTATATAATGTATATATCCAAACTACTAATAATTCAAGCAGGAAGCTAAGCTGGCGTAAAATCAGTCAACACCGCCCTTCCTTAAATTTAAAAACTATCATAAAAAATAATGTCACAATTTGCATGATAAGGTCACCACAAATTATTCCTAATTTCGATATTTTGGTTGCAATGCTTCGGCTTCTGTTACGAAATTATATTATTATTAATTAGGATTTGTTGAGCGTCCTAGTCCCTAGAAAGTTAGGGGGACCCATGACTAAATTTAAGCAATCATATCATATCATATACTAGTAACTAATATTTAAACCTAAACTTTTAGCCAGGGTACAAGTGTCGCGCCACGTTGAATAGATTTAAATAGACCTCATAAGATAAAAATAGTTAATTTAGAATTCTATTTGGATAAAATTTTAGAATAAAATTAGTTTTATTTTCAATAAAATACCAAAATTTCAAATGTACAAATTCAATTATAATTTTAATAAAAAAATTATTAGATTATACTCCGCAATTCTTAAAAATTAATAAATTATTTTTTGTATCATAATATTTTTTGGGCAAAGGGGAAATAGTTCAAAGCGTAAAACATACATTTATAATATATACTAATCGGTTAAAATAATATAGAATAATATTCCGTTTAGAAAATACTCATAACTCATAAACAGTACATACTAGGTGTGAAGCCCGTGCGACGCACGGGTTTATTTTTAAAATTATTTAAGATTTGTGTCTTATTAAATACTAATACTAATACTAATACTAATAATAATAATAATAATAATAATAATAATAATAATAATAATAATAATAATAATAATAATAATAATAATAAAAGGATTTGAAGACATTAGGATAGTTGGTAAGTGTTTCGGTGTGTGTTCATTTTGGATTTGGATTGCAAAAGATGTAATTTGTTAAGAGAAAAGAATGCTTTAATTTACATGTGTGTTACAATTGATTTGAACCGTAGGAACATATTAGTTTCATGCATGCCAACGCAACTACACAAGTCACAACTCTATTACTTTCATTAATGGACCGATGACCAATTACCAAAAACAAGGAATATATAGTCCACAGAGCTACCAGAAATTATCAGCATATAATAATAATGATGTCAAAAATCAAAAAGAATAATAAAAATATTTCAATATTAAAAAATTATTATTATTATTATTATTATTATTATTATTATTATATTATCAAAAAAAAATTTAAAAAAAAAAACAATTTGTGATGTTCAAATAGAATGATCTCTTGTACACCTCTATATAGAGTACTCTATTCTTTTTTTGTAGTTTTGATTTAGGTATCTTGGGTCTCCTGTGACAGGATTATCCTATTCCCTTTTGTAGCCCTAAATATGTAGTGTGTAGAGTATATTGTTTCTTTGTAATTCTGGTACATATTTTTTGTGCCTCCGATCAATGACGGTGATAAGATTAATTTTTTTTCCATCTTCATCTCCAAAAATAAAAATAAGATTAATATTTAATCAAATATAAATCTTAGTAAATTGTAATTGATAAAATAATAATAATATATACAAATATATTAAAATAATAATTACCATTTATCTTCTATTTCAATTGAATCTCCAATTTCGTTAACAACCATGCCAACCACATCTTGTAGGACAAAGTGATGTACGAAACAAAAAAAAATAATTATAAAAAATAGTTAAGCAAAAGATAACACTATAGAAATTTTTTAAAAATAAAAATAGAAAATCTGTAAAATATTTACCGGGGAGTGTAGCATTACTACGGAACTTATCTAAATGTTGCAATTGAACAAAATCAAATCTATGCAACGAAATTTTATTATTATCTGCAACGCCCTTGACAGTTGTATTTTGAAAAAATTGTATCATTATCTTGTTATCGCTCACAACACAATATTCATTCTTGTTGGGTACAACAGAAAAATATCGAATTGTGTAAACTTTGCCTTCATCCAGTTTAGAACGAAATTGTTGGACAAATTTTCCTTTGATTGAAGCATGGACATAATCACCCTACATATGCAAAAAATATTGTAAGTTAAAATAATATGGTAAGTTACACAATAAATTTTCAAAAAAAGAATTATATATTATTATTAAAAAAAATAAAATAAAAGGCATACCTCTTCGTCAATTAAAACCATGTCCAAACTAATCAAACTATTATGTTTCCGAAAGTTCAATATATCAAAAAGCCTTGATACGCGTACTTTAATTTTTCCAATCATTTTTGAAAGAATTAAGTTCTCGAATCAACGAAGTAGACCTAAGAAAACAATGCAATGAAAAAAAATACGGAGTAGTTAAAAATAATATTATTTGTGAATACCTCATCATATTCATTGTTAATTCATAAAAAAAATTTGAGTTTAAGGAATTAGACGTACATTTTCTTAAACCACAATATAAAGTCGTAAATTGCTTTGTATGAAGTATTGCGTGATTCTTTGGTGACGCGTGGATTAAATTAATGCCTATTTTTAATAATAAGTTAATAACAAATCATAAGCTAATTAAAACAATTCATATCTTTTTCCTAACTTAAATTTTATCATTATTAAAATTGTAATCATTATTATCTTTTTCCTAATTAATTTTTTTTTCCTTAGAAATAATAATATTTGAAACATATTGACTAATAATATATCAACTATGAGCAAACTAACTTACGTTAAATTTGCTTATCATAATTAAAGGAACAAAGTCAGTAATGTTTGTTAAAAGATAATGCATGTAGGTGAAAAGGATTAATTTTTTAAGTTTTTTTTTTTTTTTTTTTAGTACATAAAGATAGATGATAATTATCAATACTTTTATTTCTTTCTTTATTTTCTTGGTGAGATATATGATCGATTGCTTGGGCCAGTGAAACGTATAGCACATAATTTTTTAAGTTTTTTTTTTTTTTTTAGTACATAAAGATAGATGATATATATTGTTATTTTTCACCTTGACTTTTATAATTTTAATATTTTTTTAACCTATGTGGCACACATTAAATCCCAACCCTACATCGCACATTTATGTGGCGCTCTATAATTTTTTTAAATTAACAAAATCCTACGTGGCTCTCTACAAACGCGGGAAAAAACTCCCCTTTATATATATATATTAGATTTGTATACAACAAATTAAATAACGTGTGATCTTGTCTTTAAATTATCAAATTTAATGTTTATAATATTGGTACATTATGCTAAGAAATATGAAAACATAATCGTATGATTGTATGAATACATAAGGCTTATTTGATTGGAAAGGGATATATTAGTTACTTAGTCAAAATTAATGAAGTTGATGCCTATGATATGATCTCCTTGAAGAGAATAAAAAACTTTTTTTTTTTTCAGTATGATCATATATATATATTAGAATATAATCAAATTAATAAATTTAATAGGTAGTACTACATAATTACTTATTGTGTATTTGTGTAAGCTAAGATACAAACAGTCAATTAGTTGACTTTTACATTTATACGTCCAAAAATCAACTATAGATCATGTGTTTTATTCACCTTATTAATTCTATTTATTTGAACTTATATTTTTTTTTTGAACGGTTATTTGAACTTATATTATCATAATTTATTAGACCTTATCGGAAATTATTTAAATTGTAAATTCAATTTTTTTTTTGAAACAAATTGTAAATTCAATTTGATTAATAATCTTTACAATTTTTTAATTTATCTCTATTTCCTAAATTTATCTTAGCTAAACTTATATTTAAAGTAAGCAGAATAGGTTAGCCATTTACAACCTCAATTTAAGCTTATTTTCTCCCTCAATTCATTACTTGTTTTCTGTAAAAAAGTTATTAATCTTTTCTAGTGACAACGAACAACAAAAATATAATGATTATAGTAACATATAATGTATATAGTGACAATTTATATACATTATACAGATTACTGTTATGACGATAGATATATACACTTATGAGGCCATGTGTAACAAACATCACTACAATACATATTCCCAGCACTTCATTCTGGATGGTAGCTAATTTTAATGAATGAAAAGGACAAATTACCAAACTATATTCTTGTAATAATTTGTGCTAGTAGATCCAAATATACATAATAATGTTTGATTCTCCTCAACGCCATGCAGCCCCTGCTAAAAAGTCTTAAAACTATATACAAAGTATATTTTTTATGTGCGAAACGACCAACAACCATGGTCAGTGATGAGACAATTTAATTAGCCTGTCTATAGGTACGAGTTTATTAGACCTAAATTTTTTTTAGAAACTCCATGTAAATTTATCTTTTCAATATACTTTTACTTCTTTTTATTTAACTTTCTTAATACCCGCGTAATCAACCTAAATGAGTCGTTCTTTCGGGGACGGAGGTAGTACATAATATTAAAATGGGTTCAATCTGATGATGTAGACGTTTAACCTGGCCCAATTTATAAAAAACCCAATTCCAAGTTATCTCTTCGCTTTTGTCATTTAGGACTCTTTTGAGTCTTTTCCATGTGAATATACAATTTAGTAAAGCACGCAATTGACTTGAACCGGAAATTTATATTTTGGTGACGCACGTGTCACCCATGCCCCTAGTTACACCATTGATTATATTTCACAAATCTTTTAACGTATACAATGATGAAATAACCAATAAAAAAAATAAATAAAAACACAAGCTCTTCAATTGTCATTGATAAACTCATAAACCTTAATTATTGTTCATGTTGTTTTATAACCAAGGGGAGTTGTGAAGAGGGGTGACAACCGATTTGACTTGAGTGTACATACATAAGCCATCGAGTCCTGATTCTCTCCCAAACCCACTCATTTTATACCCGCCTGTCGGAGCATCACAATCGAAACCAAAGAAGCAATTGATCCAAATGGTACCAGCACGAATGGACCGTGACACGGTGTTAGCAATGTCTATATTCTTTGTCATGATCCCAGCTGCTAACCCATACCTTGTAGCATTTGCTCTTTGTATTGCATCATCTACAGTCCTGAAATTATTCACAAGAAAACAATGATATTTGGGTGTCACCTTTTTAATTAAGATGTATAAAACCTTTGGAAATTCATTTACTAAACTCACTTGAACTTCATCAAAGACATTACAGGCCCGAAAATTTCATCCTTTGCTATCTGCATACCGTCCTGCAAAAATTGTGATTCAATTAGAGACTAAACTCATAAATTTATGTACTAATAAATAAGGTAAGGCCTTGTCAACAAAAATTTGCTCATCACAACATATTGGAATGGACCCTATAAGTAATACTTTAGTGTACGTGTATGTTTGGTTCGCGACAAAGCTAGCTTAGCAAAGTTACCTTGACATCTGAGAATATTGTTGGGGCAATATAGTATCCCTTTTCACCACATGGCTCGCCTCCAACTAATAAATCAGCGCCTTCTTCTTTACCTCTCTTGATATATGAAAGTACTCTCTCAAATTGCTTCTTGTCAACCTACAAAGTGGTATAAAGTACCTTATTGGTATGTAATCAAAATTTCCATAGGAAATCGAGTATATGGCAACACGGAGCTAGTAATAGTGTAGCAATGATCGATGCAAAACAAGTCACCTGAGGTCCTTGTTGAACATTAGGGTGAAATGGATCACCAACAACCCAAGATTTAGCCTTTTCTGCTAGTTTTCTTTTCATTTCCTCATATATTCCCTCTTGAACAAGAACACGGGATCCTGCCACGCAAATTTCACCCTAAACAAAGATGAAAACATACTTAAAATCATTGCTAAGAAAAGCAGGACAACCACTTTCAGAAATCAACATTTCTTAGAATATTATGCCTTATTGTAGAGGCAGCCCTGAAGAGCAAGGTCAGTTGCAGCATCAATATCAGCATCATCGAAAATGATGAGAGGCGATTTCCCTCCAAGTTCCAGGGTAACAGGTTTTAAGTTGCTTGTTGCAGCAGCTTGCATTACAAGGCGCCCTACTTCTGGAGATCCTGTAAAACTTAACTGAACATAGTAAAATCAAAATCAGCCATTTTCTCACAATTTGACATATATGCATCATAAGTATCTAATAATCAAATTGTACATACTACATACTTTATCGACGTCCATATGTGATGATATTGCAGCTCCGGCAGTATGTCCATATCCATTTACAACATTTAGCACTCCCTCCGGTACACCAGCCTACTCATCAACATACCATATAAACACAAAACAGAGAAAATTAACAGAATACTAGCTCATCATCAAGTATTAATTCAGTTAAAGTTGTTTCGTTTTGTAAACATCACCGAGCTTAGTTGGTAATGTCTCAAGACCTCAGTATGTCCTAAATCAAATTCCGTTTACATTACTACCTTTTTATTTGTGACTGTTTGTACTCCAATTAAAAAGTAGTCTGTAGTCTCATACATGATACATAATACGAACTGAAGTATATGCTCATGGCTTACCAACTTCGAAAGATGAGCATAGTAAAGAGCGGAAAGTGGAGTTTTCTCAGAAGGCTTAACCACCATAGTACAACCAGCAGCTAACGAAGGAGCCACTTTGAGAAAAAACATAGTAGTCGGAAAATTCCATGGAATGATATGGCCAACAACACCTATAGGCTCCCTTAGGGTGTAGCCCTGCATTGAACGCGACATCTTTAATGTCTCACCATGGATTTTATCCGCGGCTCCTGCATAGTATCGTAGGCAGCGAGCTGCTCCAGGGATGTCCTGGGCCTTCCCTGCTCCAAAGAGCTTTCCTGCATCAATTGTATCTAATATAGCAAGTTCTTCCACATGCTCCTCGATTAAGTCCGCGAATTTCATCATCACCCTTCCCCTTTCCTAAATCAAATGATCATGTATGTTACATTGTTACATATATATAAGATTAGAAGCAATTAACTACTGTATGTTCTGTAAGCATACTAACATATCCGGACATACGAGGCCAAAGCCCGTGATCGAAGGCTTTTCGAGCTGCCTTGACAGCCAAATCAACATCTTCTTTATCTCCTTCAGCCACTTTTGCTATCATTTCACCATTTCTTGGATCAATTGTCTCTAAAGTTTTTCCTGTATACTTTATTAATCAGTGTTATAGGCTTACAGATTACAGCCATATATTGCATTCTAATGTTTATAATTATCTGAAAAAAGAAAATCAAGAATAATTTTCAAGACTCTAATTCATTAGGTAATGGTTATAATATTACTACCTCCGTTTCATATTATTTGCAACGATTTGATATAAATATATTATTTGCAACGTTTCATATAAAGTAGTGCTATAGATATTGAAGATTCAATAATTATCTACTGGTTTTTACTGATTCACAACTAATTAATTAGCTCCTCATATTTTTGTGTCCAAGATCAGGTCACTATAAGAAGAACGACCCTACTAAACCAGTTACTCTCAAAAGTAAGCCCACTACACAAGTCAAGTTTGAGGATGCATGAACCATGTGTTAGAGATATGAGATATCGGAAAATATTATGCAGAGGAGGAAGGTACAATTCACAAACAGGGCCCAAGGAGATTTCAATTCATACCAAAACCAATTAGCGATAGTAGGAGTAATTCCTCTATCATATATAAAGTGGATTAATCTCTCGTCTTTCTCTAATGTGTGACATTCACAAGTGAGACTAATATGATTTTCAACAAATTCATTGATTGAAAAACTAACTAAAGATTGATAATCAATCATAGATAACTGAAAACCAAAATATGGTATGTAGAAAACTAGGAATTAATTGACCTGAAAAGGAATCCACAAATTCTCCATTGATGAAGAGCTTGGTAAACTTAATTTCTGGGATTTTAACGCACGAATTTGAGCTTCCATTTGATACATAATCTTCCATTTTCTCACTTTCTAACGTCTAATTCTTCACCACTATATTTTGATCTTAGCCGTTTTTTTTAGTTGTACATATAATATGATCAATGAAATAAATATTACATAGTATGTGAAAGTGTGAAACAAAATAGAGCGAAAAGATAAGCTTTTTTGCATGTAATGCAAGTGTGTGTTTCTGTTTTTTACCCGTAAGTCGTAACACATATTAAAGGATAGATTATACTAGTGGCTTAAAGGCCTTGTCCCATTTATAAGTAAGGCTGGTAGTAGTTGTAGTACATATCATAACATTACCCATAATAAACATCTAGTCGTCATATTCTTGTACGGAGTACAAAATTAGACAAACATGATTTCCGAGGTTGTCTTTTTCAAAAATGAAGTTACTGTCGGAAATTGCAACAAATGAATTTATTATTATACTACTATCCTTTTGTTGTAACTAATAAGAAACGAAAGTACTCTGTAGAAAAACTTTGAGTGGTGAGTGGTGACTGATGGTTTATGAACGTTTGACCTTCTTTATTTTTTGGGTGTTTATCTTTATATTAATCTAATCCAACCTGAATTATGCTTCAATTAATGACTTGAATCAAACTTGGTTAGATCACGTATTGTTTGACAAATCAACTTATAATAAGTGCGTCATGCCACCGTAGTATGTCATTTCAAATGGTTTCAATTCATAATCGATACATTTGTTAGTTACGGAGAAAGAGAAACAAGTACATAAACTTATATGGATGAACTACGATACAATTATCAATTATGTAGTATTCATACATTATACATATATAACTACAAGCACAAATGCACAAACTTGTTGATATTGCATTACACAAGAAATTAATTCACCATTATTTGTGTATCATAACTCTCTCAAGAACAAACTTTAAAAAGCCTATAACTTTTTTTTTTACCCTAATAAGCCAAGTATTACAAAGAAGCTAAAGTTTTATTAGTCAATCCCTGAATTTATCCCCCCGTTGTACATAAAAGGTGTTCATTTTTCGTCGTATAAATTTATAGCCAAGGAGAGTTGTAAAGAGGGGTTACAACAGCCTTGACATTGGTATACTTGTACAAAGCTTCCATCCCTAAATCTCTGCCAAATCCACTCATTTTGTACCCACCATAAGGACAATCAAGATCAAATGCAAAATAACAGTTGATCCATATTACTCCGGCTCTGATCGATCTTGACACTGTATTTGCTATGTCGATGTTTTTAGTCACTATCCCTGCTGCTAGCCCGTATTGTGTGCTATTTGCTCTCTCTATTGCCTCCTCAATAGTCCTGCAGTTTGGTAGTATAGGCCACAAGGATATATGTTCAGTCGCGATAGCTTATGACCTTGTTCATTTAGCTATTATTATCAAATGCCTAATATCAACACTTAAGAAGGGTCTAATTGTGTAAGGACTTCAATAAGTAACATAATACTTACTTGAATTTCAACAATGACATGACAGGCCCGAATATTTCCTCTTTAGCTATCACCATATCGTCCTAAAGACATTCAAACACAAATTATGAGAGTTCGTAGAACTATATTTAGGCAGCAATATATGCATTAAGTTGTTTATAAGGTTAATAAGCTCGAGTAAGGTTAATAAGTTACCTGAACATTTGTAAATATGGTAGGCTGAATGAAGTAACCCTTGTCTCCATGTCGATTACCACCACATAACAAGTTAGCACCTTCTCGCTTGCCATGCTCTATGTACGAAAGTATTTTCTCAAATTGCTTCTTGTCAACCTATACGACGATACATTATAAGCATCAAACGAATAGTACACTAACACAAAATTTGACATTGAACTAATTGATCAAAGAACTGATGCATATGAACAAAATTTTATGTAAATTGCACCTGTGGTCCTTGATGAACATTGTCATCAAAGGGATCTCCCACAATCCAATTCTTAGTCTTTTCTGCTAATTTCTGGACTACTGCATCATGAATCCCTTCTTGAACGAAAACTCGAGAGCCAGCTACACAAATTTCTCCCTGCAAGATCAGAGTAACAAAAATAGGATCAAGTTAAGGATAGGTTATCTAAGAGTTGATCATGAACAAAAAAAGGATACGAGTACAAAACACATGTACCTTGTTATAGCATATGCCGCGGAGGGCAAGATCAGCAGCAACATCAACATCAGCATCATCGAAAATCATAACAGGGGATTTTCCTCCTAATTCAAGGGAAACTTGCTTTAAGTTGCTCATTGCTGCTGCTTGCATTACTAGTCTTCCCACTTCAGTAGACCCTGTAAAACTAACCTGTATAAACATTCAAAATAACATTATTTTTTTTTTTACCATGAAATAAGATTTTAGACAATGGTAACTTCATCAAAACTTAACTTACTTTGTCAATGTCCATATGGGATGCTATGGCTGCACCAGCAGTCGGTCCAAATCCGGTGACCACATTAATGACTCCATCAGGAATACCAGCCTATTTCAAGAAATATTTATAAGTAATCAGTTTATTAGTGCACACAAGAACGTATGTCAAAGATGATATGCAAAAGGCAAAACATACTTATAAAAAATCTCTTAATACAACATAATATGTCTTATAAAAACGTACCAACTTGGAGAGGTGAGCATAGAACAAAGCCGAGAGGGGGGTTTGCTCAGCCGGTTTGACCACCATGGTGCAGCCAGCAGCCAAGGAAGGAGCCACCTTCATGAAATACATACTTGTAGGAAAATTCCATGGTATAATGTGGCCTACAACTCCTACAGGCTCGCGTAGAGTGTACCCCTGCAACTCGCGTGACATCTTCAACGTCTCACCATGGATTTTATCGGCTGCTCCTGCATAGTACCTTAGATTACTTGCACCACTAGGGATGTCTATCAATTTTCCCATGCCAAATAGCTTCCCTGCATCAATTGCATCCAATGCTGCCAATTCTTCGGCATGTTGCTCTACTAACTCTGCATATTTTATCATCAATCTTCCCCTTGCCTTCATTTAAGCACCAAGTATTAGTGAATGTCTTAAAGCCAGAGTATGAAATTAATTGTACATTAATTATTACATGGATTTCGTCCATATATGATACGTTGTAATGTTGTATATGTGACTATGTGACTATGTGAGCATACATGCTAATAAAAAGTCTAAAAAAAAAAATTATACCAAACATGCTCTAAAAGTATTGACATGTAAATTGTTGCATCATTAAGTAAGTTTAAATGATTAATGATTTGAGGGGCCAAAAAGCCTAATAGGTCGTCTTATTCTCTTCTTTAATCACATTTCATGTCTTTAACCTTTACTTTATGAGGGGCTTAATCCTTTACTTCAATGTCACGTATCTTATACTGTATTATTGTCAATTTGACGAAAGTTGTTGAAAAAATAAATCTTACTTAACTTAATTGAACCCTAGGGACCTATTATTAGACTATCATTTAGCCATTTCCATGTAAAAATACTTATTGGGGGAAGGGGGTGGCCGGTGGGGCATGAGAGATTATGGTATCCAATTACAATTTACAGCCGTGCATTTATACTCACTATCTTTTGGAATATGCGCAACAGTTTGAATTTTACATTATTTATACACTAAGGCTCTGTTCTTTTCACCTTAAAAAAATAATATTAAGTAAAAATAATTTCAGTTCAGTAAAAATAAGTTCAGTTCATTAAATTACTTTCAGTTTAGTAAAAATAATTTCAGTTCAGTAAAAATAAGTTCAGTTCAGTAAAATTCAGTTTTCTTAAAGAAGAATTATAATAGAAAATCAGTAAAAATAATTTCAATTCAGTAAAAATAATTTAAGTTCAGTAAAAATAAGTTCAGTTCAGTAAAAATAAGTTCAGTTCAGTAAAAATAATTTCAATTCAGCAAAATTAAGGTGAATCAAATAGGGCCTAATTTTAACTTTTTTTTTTTGTTAGTAATAACAATTAAAAATATTAACAATAAATGTTGTACATTAACAAACGTCTTGTCACTAAAACCAAAATCGTGGTTATTTTAAAACCTCATCAAAGGAAATACTCTATAGTTCCAAGATAGAATCCTGTAGGAGAAAGGTTAACAATTATAGGAGTATATATGATAATTTAGGAGGTGCGACAAAAGAAATTATTGGAATATGATAAATTAGGAGGTGTGACAAAATAAATAATTTAGGAGGACAGTATTTTTGTATGTATATTATTACTATATGATCAGATGTTATTACTATATGATCAGTGTTATATATGTATGGTAGGACTTACATGACCAGACATACGAGGCCAGGGACCATGGTCGAATGCATCACGGGCAGCCTTGACAGCTAAATCTATGTCTTCCTTGTCTCCTTCGGCTATCTTCGCTACCACTTCTCCATTTCTTGGATCTATCGTTTCAAACGTTTTTCCTGCATTTTTTCACATTTGTACATACATCTTCGATTATTTATCAAACATGTCACATGAACGCGATTTTAAAATAAACAACCAAATTGTCACTTCCACCTTATCACATTGGTAAAATTTAATTTGTCAATGCTACCAACTAGCAATAGTAGACTTGATTTGAATTGTACAATTCTGACTTTTGAATTTTATCTTCAAGGTTTTACCATATTTTTGTTGGATTCTTTATAAAAGCTAAAGTCTTTGTTATTTGAAGAAAACGATGGTTGAATAGAAGAGATATACATTGGGACCAAGGTGTTAAGGGAGCTTTTTATCCCAAAGTCAAGTCAATTTTTAATCAATTCAATCTTGTTATCATCACTTGCACGGTACACCATATCAAATAAGAGCCCAGAACTGTGTTAATGAAACCTAATCTAAAAAGTCACCAAAGACCCTGACCCAAACCTTACTTCGTATTATTTTTTGGTTTAATATTCACGAGTTTGTTGAGTTAGACACTTAGACTTAGAAGATAAACATCTAGATTCAAACCTGTTAAATACGAGTCTGGGCCGCACCCGTCACGGGAGAGTGCAAGTCCATCACTTTACAAGACCAAGGAGGTTCTACCTCAAAACCATATGGCAATGAGGGGAGTAGCCCCATAGCCTTATATTGTGGTGGTAACTCTTAAATTCTTTCAATGTGGGATTTCATTACCACTACACTCCCTCTATAGTGTTTAGTGTTTTAGTGTGGGACAAGATAATGTTCACATGTGGGTTGTTCATGGGCT